GATTGTCGCGGGCCTTCGGGGCATGCCGAAACCCATAATTGTAGCCGTGTTCATTAGTTAACCTGTTTTTTTTTGGACGGATCCGAGCCGCAAGGTCATCCAAAACGGATGCCACAGTTCGGGGCTTAGGTTTTCCACTCTTGCCCTTTGTGGGGCACATTGTATCTCGCCGCGGCCAAGCGTCAACACCACACGAGGGAGGCCTTCCCAGAATTTGGCACTGCTGACAGTCCTTAGACTCCACTCGCGCAGTCAGACTACAACATGAGTGCATACATGCACTACAGTTGCACTGACAACAACAATCGCGACAAAGCAGCTTGCTACATTAGTAAAAACCTTCGAAATGATACGGCTTTGGGATGACAAAGGGGTCGGCATTGCTTCGCGATATCACCGGCGCCCAACTTACTTCGGGGGACCCTTTAAGGAACCCTACACAACAGATCACAACTTTCTCTCCTTCGCCGATGGGTTTGGGACCCAATGGGCCCTTGGGGAGTTTCCGAAAAGAGGGGGGGCCCTAATATAGTAGTCTACATGGTAGGATCCTTGTTATAAGGACCCCAAAATAAGGTACCCCCTAATTTTCGGAAACTCCCACTTCAGGAAGGTGAAAACTGATGAAACCTGCACAATTCCAGGGTGCGCTGCACGTAATGCTGGAGCTGTATGCAGCTGGGCGACAGCACTGCCAGGTCACAGTCTAAACCAACGCAAAGCCTTGGTTGCTGCGGGTGAGGGGGGGTCGTTTCAAACTGAGGCCCTGTTGCAACATTGCCTTCAACAGCTACTTGTGAACAAAGTGCCGAGAAGCACAGTTGCAATGAACTTCTGGTGGTCTCCGCGTTTGCGCACTTGCACCACCGCAGCATGACGGACGACATGGGCGTTGGTGAGCAGCCACTGGTTGCCTTTCATCAAACTCATGTGCCACGCTTCGGAACTCCTAACCCTTCCACACCCCTCCAATCTCAGATCCCCAAGCCCAAGCCCGTGGGTTTCGGTATCGCACGCCCCGGCAGTTTCCTGACGCCTGCAGAACTGGTAGGCCGATGCTTCCTACATGCGACATCTCGTCTGCAGCTGCTTGCAGCAGGGAGGGCGAAGTCGTTAGAAATACTGGGGCCCCTATATTCTCCCACCTGGAAGCAGCTTTATATCCCCCCCAGTATCCACTACTGGGCTGCCGTGCTCTAGACCGTCGAACCCGGAGCCGCTAAAACCTCTCCCATGCCGGCAAGGTACCCTCCTTGCCCCAGGCAACGGCAAAGGCAGTCCCTGTTCGTGCGTCCTGAAGAAAGCTGTTCAGGCTTCAAGAAGGTCTACACTTTTCATAGGAGGTTGCTCGTCCTCAGAAACGACTGGCGGCGAGACTTGTCTTGGGCATCTATGACGGACGGCTTGAGCTGGAGGGCTTTGGGTACCGGACGGGCCTTGAGCTGCAGCCAAAGCCTATAAGGGTCATTTCCATGGTGCGCACCCGCGTTCAATGACGTCAAGAATCTTTGCCCCGACAGGTGGTATGTGTAGGCTCCTAACATGGGGAGTTGGGACTATCAGGGTATGCTATTGCAAGTTATTTGCTATTGAGTTTCCCGACGCCTCTATCAAAGTGAACAAAATTTCGACGCTCACACCCGCACAAGGAAAATTCAAGGTTCCAACTCAGAGAGTCTTCAAGAGACTCGGAAGCTCAAATCCCAGGCTGGAACGAATTCGTCCTGGGGCTTGTAAGCCCAGGGAACCGCATAGTTCGGCTCGGACACAGCTGCAAAAACTTTCCTTGGCCCGGTGTTCGGATATATATATATATATACATATAGTATATAATGGGCCCCCAAACACTATTTCGGGGCGGCACAGAAGGCCAGTTTTGAGCTCGTTGACAGCTTCCTGGGGGCAGAAATCTCTGAGGCTTGCGATGTGCCGTGGAGCAGGGGGCCCCTGAGTACAAACTACATTGAAGCCATCAGCCAAGCTGCCAAGCAATCTTTGCGAAACTTGCCCAAAACACAGGGCAAACCCTCGAATCGAACGAAAGGTCGGGTCGTGTAGGGTATGTGAGATGCGCCTTACAGTAAATCTTGCGAAATCAAGACCTGGAAGTCCAATGTTCGATCTGTACAGCCTGAGGCCTGAGGACGGTGAAACAAGGTTGCTCCAAATTTGACAGTCTTTCATTAAATCGCCCCAGAACACACAATATAGGGGTCTATTGGTTGCAACTGTAATGTACCCCGTGACCCCTTCAAATCCTCCATTTCCGAGCAAAGCCGAGGCTCACGACTGCATCGTTGGCATTAGTGGCGTCTTCCAAGCAGGCGCCCTGGGGCCCGAGAAGTCTTGCGGCAGCTATTATAGTATGGTATACTGTAGTATAGTATAGTATAGTATACAGTAGTATAGTATGCACTTTTGCGACTTATGGCACAGCAACGATAGGAGTAGTTTCGCCGTTTTGTCTGACCGAGCTCCCTCCCTTTCTTGCAGACAGAGCAATTGACCTGTCTATGGATGTCAAGACTCTTCAAGCCAACGGTTGGAGGCGCATTTGCAAAGACTCCAGGTGAAGGGCCCGAGATAAGAGAGGTAAGACCACAACATGCGGAGGTTATCCATGGAAACCTGCGTGTTAGAGCTTGTCCGGTGTAGGCGCCAGAAGGGCCCAACTTCAAGAGCAGCCTTCTCGTCCTTTCTATGCCAAAAGCCTCGGCCACTCTCCGACCCGTTCTCACCAAAGAAGGCCTGAAGCGTCCTAAATCCGTACAGGCATTTGAAAGCCCTACGAGAATGAGCCTTCAAGCCACTCAACTAAGCCTCAACCTCCTTTGATTTTCATCAGCCCTGCCACCGCAGGAGGCCCGGCGCCCTTGGCGTTCTTCTTCCTCGTCTCTTTGGGCGAGGCCGCTGGGCGCTTGGCCGCTGGCATGGCGTCAGGGAGCGAAGCCGCTCAACCTTACACCTCACAACCCTCAAACCTAAAGAAGCTTTAGAGATCCTGTTTAAAACTTAAGGAGGAAAGCTTCTCTAATCCCAGCTACATGGCCCTGGGGAACTGGTCAGCTTTCAGATCTGGCCCAAAGGAGCATGATCGTCATCATAAAACTGGGCCCCAGGACCGCTGTTTCTCTGTCATCTTTCTACTACAAGTAGTGGTGATCTCATGGTGTGGCCATACTGCGAACATGATCCTTGGGAGCATACAACTCCGCTTGTGAAGCCTGGGACGGCGCTTGGCCAAGTTTGATCCCAAGTCCTAGTGCTTGTGCTCGGAGCACGAAATGACCTGCGGTCTATGCAGCGATCTGGGCAGCTCCCCCAGCGGGTTCGTCGATATGGGGTTTCTTTATGGCTTTATGCTTTCAGGTACAGGGATTCTTTGCCTCCTGCATGGCTGGGCGACGGGTTCGAGATGGGTGTTGGCCAGCACACCTGGAGCCCGATACCATGAGCATTCTTTCATGTTGAGTTTATTTACAGAAGCAGTAGGGGACTGTGTCCCAGAGGTTCTCAACCCCGAAAACAGCAAATGCGGCACACGACGTCAATCCCACTCCGAAATCTGGGGGTATGCTGCATCCTAAGAGCTTGTCGCAACATCGCTCCTACCATCTCCAGCACTGCGTGTCCCTCAGGCTTGGGCGGCGGTCATCCTAGCTGTCGACAGTGACAAGTTCTCCTCCCACCTCGGCTATGCCCGCCCAGGCCCCCCCGGTGCGAAAGCCTTAGCAGTTGGTAGCTACTGCACCGGAAACAGTTGTAATAAGGCCGAAGTGGAAACCATGCTCCTACACTACATCTTGATGATCGTCATCCTTATGGCAGAAGCCGCTATCATCACCGGATGCAGGAGACGGCACTTGCCAGACAGCCGTGGATGTGTGCCTACCCCTTCCCCTCGCCGTCTGTGCGACCACTACCATCGCCGCCACCGTCGCAACCAATGCCAGCACAAGCACCATCGCCATCACTAGGACACGTCATCATCATCAGCATCATCCTCACCGTCGGTATCAGCAGAGTCATGATCGATATTCTCCTCGCAGCCGTCATCACCTGCTTCTTCATTCACCACCATCACCTCCAGCACCATCATCGTGATCCTCATCATCATCGGCGGTTCGGCATCACTTCCCGAGATCCACAACAGTGCAAGTCATACCTGATGAGGACGCCACTGAACTCTACCTCCTTATGTGTACCGTTCGCATATCGGCACATGCGTGGTCATTAGAACATATCCCTAGCAGAGTGAGCCGTCAGCATCTGTCAGGCCAACATCAAATATTCGCACCTCCACCAACAACTTAATCCCCGAGCAGATTCAATGAAGCTTCACCAAATCCTAGCGGATGCCCGCGGCCGAAAATCATCGAGCACCACCCTGAACCCCTCTAGCCGAAGCGGCCCGAGCAACAAAATCCCTAAACACGCCAGACATCTACTGTAGGGGTAGGGTTTTGGGGTACTTTCTACTGTATACTTATAATAATACGGAACCCTCAGAATAGTGTTGGTAAGTATTTATAGGAGGCCCCTATATTACGGACTCGGGCGGACCTCGGATGGAGTTGGATGCGCCTTTGTGGCCTCGGGAGACATGGAAAAGCCAAGCGAAGGAGATTGCGATACTTCAGAAGGACCTGGTGATAGGTTTAGTCTAGTAAAGACTGCCGCTATAGACTACTGTTGATGCTGGTCGTTGCAAATATCTCTGCCTCCTGTCTGGCTCGGGTCTAGGATGAGGGCGACGAGGGTCCCGAAACTTCAGGCAAGTGGGCCTGTCCCAGTGTGGGACGAGCCTGTACGGTTTCGGGCTTGCGGCTTAGGGTTCAGTGATGTGTTCAGTGCCGAAGACGAAAGATCCGAAGCTCAGGAGAAAGAATCCGGGCAACGAGGTCAATCCGATTGCGTTGGCGTTTCTGAGCTTTCCTTACTCCTTGTGAAGATACACATCAAGGCCCTTCTCCGTTGGTCCGTTTCCGTACAGCTCAAAGCTAGGGCTCGCACTTCTCCTCGTCGTCCTCCAGCAGGACGTCAACTTCCGACAGCCCATGCGAGATCGCTAGGATCTTCTCGTCACCTGAACAACAGAACATTCGCGAAGATCACCAAACGACACGGGTTCGAAGTTGGGTTTCGTAGACTTCGGGCCTTCGTGGTAGCTGAGTCGTCTTGACTTGAGATCCAAACATTTCAAGAGATGCATCATCTCGCGAAGGTATAGTTCGTCTTGAGTCTTGAGGCTAGTTACTGTCGTATGTTTAGATAATCCAGTATAGTACTTGTCTGGTTCTTGTGATTGCAATCTTTTATTTGGGCTCCAGCAGCGGCAATCTCTCGGCCTGTCGTCGCAGGAATGGCATCGGAACTCGCTCGCTCAGCAAGGACCTGCGGCACAGCTTGCTAAAAGGCGCGGGCTAGGGGTCTGACTCTACGGGAAGGGTGGGAGGGCGAGGTGGAAGTTTTCAACGGAGTTCGATCAAAACGGCCAACTCTTCTATGCCTGGTGCCCCCGCAAGAAATTCCGAGTTGAGCATGTGCCCACAATCACAAGCCACGGCTGCAGGTAACCCGATCACGTATGGAATCCCTGAACCTCGTGTTGAGACAACACTCCCAAACAATCACACCCTCGCTATGGCCCTTGAACCGGACCTCTCCCCAGTGGCTAAGCCCCGTGATGTCCAAGCCTTACAAGCCCCCTCCCGAAAATCCCCTACGGCCCGCTGAAAATCCTAAAGCACCCCTGAAAGCCCCCCCCCCCAACAGCCTCACCCAAACCTTCCGTCTGCGAAGGCTGGAAGCTCACGGAAGGGAGGCCCAGAGCTAAGGACGACATTGACGACTCCTGCAGTCGGTGTAAGATAAAGTCCTGTATGATGTATGATTCGGATAAGGCCGTATTCGACAAACTACAGTATGTAATCAGGAACCCTTTTTCAGGCTTCTACTTGAGTTTAGGGCTTCTGGGGCGTAGTGTAAGGTTTCGGGCTCTTGGGGAGCTTAGGGTTTTGGTGTTAAAGGTTCTGGGCCCTTTAAGGTGTCGTTCTTTTTGCAGTCAGCGGGTTCAGTTTACGCTTTAGGGCTTAGGGCCGGGAGCTTTACTGTATAGTTTGAGAGCCTTAGGGTTGAGAGCTTGGGAGTTACAGGCTTCGGTGGCGAGGAGCGTGTCCAGCTTTTTGCCTTTGATGCTGCTGGACACCCACCTGAACCTATGAGCCATCGTGGTTACCAAGGTTCGTTCTTCAAAAATGCCGGGAACAGATCGTGTTTCGTTCTCTTTCAAACATGCTGCCGTAACGGTCTCCTTCTTGGACGAGTATCGTTAATATCTGTCCAAGAGTATTCCCCTGATGCACCAATCCCGCCTGCTTCTGAGCTGACATGCCGGTGTTCTTCTTGCTCATGCCACCCGCGTCATTTGCTAACTCATGAACCACAAGCTAGCCGAGAACCTTCTGCAGAAACTGGCAAGGCCTTGAACTCTAGACGTACAGGCCTGTAAGGAAGCATGTCGGCTTGAAATCCCCGCCCCAAGCCCAAACTACCAGAACATGAACCCAACACCGAAGCCCAAAGCCGAAACCCCCGAAAAGTTCTAGAGGTGGCTCTTTGCCGTGGCCTTCGACGCCATGCGACCCGCATGATAGCCCTCTCGCTGTAGCTTCACAAGGGCTGCCTTTACAGGACTTGCTGAGTGTCTCATATAGGGGCCTTCATAATTGGAAGAGGGCTTTGGGGCTCATTTTACTATAAGTATATACAAGGCCCTAAATCAGGGCTAAGAGTTTGCAAGCATGGCTCGGGGTTGTGGCTTTCATATTTTCGAGGCCCGACCTCATTTTCGGACACTCCTAGTCGAGGCTTCCGAGCCTCTGGGGTTCTTGCGTTTCGGTTTGAAGCCGGTCAGTGGAGAAGCTGGTGCCCACCATGAGCCAAAAGGCACATACACGCTTTTCTGGTGCTCTAAAGCTTGCAGGGGCAAAGTCGTCACCGCCGCCAGCATCACCATCAACGTCAGCATCACAGCACAGCTTCATGGGGCAGCCGAGATCCCCACAACGAGGGAGCTTGGGACATCTTCGTGTGTGTGTGTCCTATAGTCCGAGAACTCAACCTTCAAAACAGCTCAAGTACGGTCCAAAGCATAAAGCTGGCAACAGCTAGCCAGGCATTGCCACTTCTACTAAACATCCTACCCACAACAACATTGCCCAAAAGCTGGCAACAAACCCGTGACACAACCAGGTAACGATACTGAGCCTGCTTCCGATTCTCTCATCTTATCTACCGCCTGCATCGCATGTCTACTTCTTTTTGATCTTGGTGGAGCCACCTTCTTGTGTGTTTAATCGAAAACATGTACCAACAAATCCAGAAATCCTCCCGAACCTCCCTAAACCCTAAACCCAAGCTCACGCGGGCCTTCAGCGTCTCCTTCTCGTGGCTGAGCTCGTCGATCTTTGCCTTCGCACCCAGGCGCTTGGAGGCTCATGGGGAGGATTTTTTCCCTCCTACCTAGCAAGGACAAAGCCCGCTTGCAGGGACCCACACTCGGACAAAGCCTGGCAAGGTCTGCAGCGATACTGGTCTCAGGATTTAGGGTTTCGGTGCTCGCACTCGGACAATCCAGGCGAGGCATGTGGTTCGAGGATTTAGGGTTTAGGCGTTGTAAGTTGTAAGTGGAGTTAAAGTAGGGTAACTGTAGATAAGTTATAACCCATATTAAGGGGCTTATAACCCGAGTTATAGCTACCCATGAACATCCAAGTGGGGCTAGGGTTTTGTTAAACTTGGTTAGGGTTTTCGGCCTCCTACTTCGCAAGGACGAGCCCGCGTAGCAGGGTTTTGGTTACGGTTTGGGGCTTCAGAAAACCGGTGACAGTTGTAGCAGGGTTTCGGTTTCTGCTTTAGGGTTCCGAGGCCGCGTCCCAGTCTCATGCATTCGAGACCGTACGCCCCAGGCTACATGGGGCCTTACGCACACATGCGTGTTGTACCCAATATGCCCCGTTGCAAACCCACCCTATGAAGGCTGTCCTCCTGGCTGGTGTGGATTCGGTCCAGCTGACGGAGCAAGTCTCGGTAGACCGTTTCTCGCCTCGACAAACGTTGGTTTCCACTTGTCAAACAGATCTTGTGTGCGTCATAATTGTGACCACTCTTAGGCTTTAGGAGCTCCAGTTCTAAAGTAGCAATCATCTCGTGGGAGCAAAAGCTCATGTTGAAAGATGTTGGAAGACAGCGTCAACACGCACTCTGCCGCATGCCGCTGCTGCTGCCGAGCAGGTTCGCATTCCTACTGCCCCTTTCAGCTCAATGGGTCCGTTGGCCGAATGCTTATCGCAACCATCTACATCCCTCTCAGGATCAGTATTCTTCTGTGTTCTGATTTGGAGGCTGCAGCTGGTCGACAACTCTCCGTTTGACTGGGTCTGTGGAAGAGCTCATTCAGCTTGGCTGAGAAGCTTGTGGCTTGTGGCTGATGCCCCATCCGACAGCCCCATCATGCCCTGTGCTCCTAAAGCCCCCAAGTCCCAACGTCCAAGGCCCGGACGGTTCTTCGCCATTCGGATCCTTGTTGTTATCCAGCTCACGACTCAACGTGCCAACTTCGAGGCCAAGGGATTCCATGGCACGAGGCTGGCTTCCTATAGGGACCACCCGAACTCCAAACTACGGCGCTGCCAGCCCCAAATGTCTTTGCCGCTCAACCTGAAGCCCTCGGCATTCGACTCAGCATCCCCACTCTTCCGCAGGGAGATCTTGGTAAGTCTGTGCCCCGCCCTGTGGGCAAGCTTTGGAAAACCACACATGCTCTCGGGCCACGAAGCTGCGACGAAAGTTCACGCATGCACTTGGGACTTCGGAGTTTGGATCAACCCACTCTTTCGGTGCCAACACTGTCCTAGCATCGATATGCCTCAAACGCTACAACACAGCCTCGGAATTAGCCCAAAGCCTTCTCTCACTTAAGGCTGCTGTTGCCAAAGGTGAGGAAGCCGTCGACAACAACCGCCAAAAGTGGCACTGTAAACTACTAGTACTAGTACTAGTACTAGTACTAGTACTAGTACTAGTACTAGTACTAGTACTAGTACTAGTACTAGTACTAGTACTAGTACTAGTACTAGAAGTAGTAGTAGTAGTAGTAGTAGTAGTAGTAGTAGTACTACTACTACTACTACTACTACTACTACTACTACTACTACTACTACTACTACTACTACTACTACTACTACTAGACCCGAAGCTGAACAACTTACTTCAAGACTCCCTAAGCCCGGAAAGCCCTTTACGCTTGACCCTCTCAGATCGCTAAGCTCGATAGAATACTATTATAGTAATAATAATAATAATAATGGTAATAATAATAGTCATAATAATGATAATAATAGTAATGATAATGCAATATTCCCCGAAAGACCCTTGGAACAGCGATCCCCGCCCTCTTGAGCCCATCAAGCCACAGCATGAAAGCCAAGATCTTCCAAGGCGCAACGTTTCGAAACCCCGAAGCCTCGAACTCCAATCTGCACGCCATTGAAAGCACAAAGCCCAAAACAAAAACCGAAACTTTAACTCCTGGTCCTAATCCGAAACTCGGCCTCCCTAAACTTCCTAATGTAGGAACCGGATTAAGCAACCTTGGGCCTTCGCACAGGGTTTCGAAACCAAGTTCCTACATTACCCCAACACCATAGACCCTCCGAAGTTCATCCCCAAGAGTTGGAGCGCGCGCTCCGTGACCATCGCCTTCCCAGCGTAGCGAAGGACCACAAGGCTCCGGTCAGCTGGCGACTCTGGAAGTTTGGCGCCTGGAGCTTCTCAGATATGGGAGTTTCCGAAAATAGGGGACCCTAATATATAGTACCCTAAATAGTAGGATCTTTATTTGAAGGACCCCAGGATAAGGTACCCCTAATTTTCGGAAACTCCCATATCTTAAGGGCTTGTTCACTGTTCTTCAGGGTTTAAGGGGGGGTTAAGGGCTTGTTGCTTTGGCGTAGGTGCTCGGGGTTTCGAGTTTGTTCGGGGGAAAGCTTAGGGCTCCGGAGTTTCGATTCTTTAGGGTTGGGAGATGGTCCTTGGAAGCTGCGGGGCTCCAAGCTTCGGAAGATTTTGGGGATGACCTTGGGTTCTTCCGGCTCCAATGCCTCAGAGTTTGAAGGGATGTGCATGGTCGAGGGCTTGCGCTGCAGGCTTTGGCATCTGGTTGTGCGTCTTGGAGAGAGCGCCTTTCTGCTACCTGACTCAAGTCTGGCTAGGCTACGACCTAGAAGAGAGCCTCAGACTAAACCCCCTACCTTCAAGACAGGGTGGGTAGCCAAGGAACTTCTAATGAGCCTCCTGTTCGCTTGTTTACCCCTTCGGTGTCCGTGGGTGGCGGCATGTGGCGTGTTCTTGAAGCCTGCATAGCACTTGTCCGATAACATGCTCGTTGAATTACGTATGCGGTACCATATTCTGCATACCTCATAAATACTATATGCACTCCAGAATCATACGGTACTATACTACATTATATATTACGTATATGATTTAACATCGGCGCTGCCTGCATGTTGCGCTCCAGATGGCTGAGAACCTCGTGCCACCGGTGGTCCTCGAAGAGCCTGGTTGAGGGGCGCTAATAATTAGAAGAGGGTTTCTACTGAAGGGTTACTCTAGCTTAGATTTTAAGGATTCAAGGGGCGGTACATGGGCCTTAACAATCAGAATAGGCTTCTTGGGTTCGGTAAGCAGTAACTGTATAGGCTATAAGAGGCTAGTATTTACCAGTTACGACGAGTGCTCGACATGTGAGTTTGATTCTCGGTCGGTAGGTGCCTACTCTATAATCCTAAATCCCCACTAAACCAGTCGAGCAAGATCCTGGCTTACAAGTTGCTGCAGGCTGCAGGAGGACGAAACACGCTGAACCTTATTCTGCCATACTCGTACTGGCCGGTGCCGCTGACTTCCATCTTGCAGCGGTGCATTCGAGTGGGTCGCTGGCCCTTTTGCATCCAGACCTATTGCGACTGCTGGGTGCCCTGAAGAAAGGAAACTGAGGGCCAGGCAAATCTGCAGCACTACTGGCTGCAACACTCACCCAAACACACAGGACATAATGTCTTTCATGCGGCCACTCTGAACTGCCCTACTTCCTTGATCTAGCGAAGAGAAAATTGACCTGATCATCCGTTGGGGCATACCACTACTATGTGATATGTAAAAGAAGGAAGTCTAAGCCCTGCGGGATGGCCCTACTATGTTTTTGAGAGCAGCCGCTTGGCCTGTGGTGCGGCGCTTCGCGGTGCCACTTCGCCAGCCGATGCCTGACGCCAGGACGCATGAGACGAGGCCATGGTGCAACCCTTATAGGAACTATAGTAACCTTAAGTAAGCTTATAGTATCCTTGTAGTAACCTTATAGTGTCAAGCCCGTGGGAAACAGCACATGTACTATGATGAATCATCATGCTCTGTCCTGTTGTGCATCAGTCGCATAACAAACATGGTTAGCAAGAACGTACGATGACGGTGTGCCATCGCATCTATCGCGTCAGGTGATAGCATAGACCGCAGCATGCAGCAGTAGGGTTCAAAGGGGTTCGAAGGTTTCGAGGCAGGATGCTTGTCACAGATTCCCGCATGCACCACTAAACCATGGAGAAGACGTTCATGATCGCGTAGACTGAGGCGAACATGTATTTTCTACATACCGACATATTTGTAGGTTAAAGCTACTGCGAATGATCCGAAAAGGTTTTCAGCCGCGACACATGGCAGTCGCGGTGTTGGTGCCGTCGAACTCGGCTCCATAGGTGCCAATGAGGTTAAGCACCTTCAATGCAGGATTAAGTTCGGGCATGCCGCGGCAGCACGACTCTTATCACGGCAAACGAAACGGGCCGAATGTCTAGGCCCAACGCACCTTCACATTAAGTGCGGAAGCCTCTGGCACGGAGGTCGTGGCCGCCAGCCAATCGTTCAACGTCCTGGAGGGCTTGTCGGGGCGAACCTGGGCTCCAGTCAAGTCGGCTTTGGCCAGGAGAACTACGCTTGTCGCAGCTTTCCAGCCGAATGCATTGTCACCTAACCACATCGCACTGGAAAATGTGACAATTTTCACCATGTGGTAGGATGACGAGAAACTCAAAGAACCCTCATCATCCTGGCTCGTAGAACCAGGCGATAGGCCACTACTCGTTCTAGTCAGCCTTCAAGGGCTTCCAGGATTCTGGGGTTGGCTGGAGCTGTAGAATATCAGGGCTTTGGGTGCTGTCAGTTCATGTAAGGAAACGAAGTCGTGTCTTCTTCAACTTCCATCTCTCCGTCGTAATTTTGCGCCCGGTAGACGATGCCCCCACAAACACTGGAACCACACGCAACAACGTGGTTTCAGAGCCTGATGCACTACGGAACTTGGTCAGGTACTTATACCATAGTACACCCCAAAAACGACCTTCTACTTGCTCAGTCATAATTGTTACCACAGCGCAATTTGGGGCCCATTATACTATAGTTATAATAAGGAACCCCCAAAATAGTATTGGTACTTACTTAGGCCCATATAGTAGCACAGTGGATGAACTGTTGTGGCCAGGGTCTCAGTGGCTGAGGCCCTGGCATGGTACGGTAGCTTCGAGGAGACAATCCTGGAAGAAGCAATCGCATATAAGAGCCCTTGGGTTACCATGTAGGTATGCGTGTAGATCGTATTACTACTGTTCTTGTTATTACTACTCTTATTGTTAGTGCGTCTGCGCATATAGATATACAACCATATGTATATGTATATGTATATGTATATGTATATGTATATATGTATGCATACATACATGGCCGCTGAGAGAAGGACCTGCCCCTGCTCCGACCTTCACCGCTGCTATCCATGAGAGGAGGACGACGATGCCTATAGTAGCCTTGTACTAACCCAATAGTATCTTGGTTGCTATGTAACCTTGAAGGGTACCATAGGAATATTATTGTAACCTTGTGGTAACCATATATAGCAACACATAGTCCACTAATATAGTAACCTCGTATCAAACCTCGGAATAACCATTGCGCAAGCATTTGGAAACATTGCAGTCGTGACAGCAGTATGGCGCCAGAAAAGCACATAAGCAAGAATTACGATAGGGATCTCCGATATGAACTTTCAGCACCCTTATAATGAAACTCAATTAGACTTGCTTCGCGGAGTACTAATTGGCGACAACCAGCATTCCAACGACAGAAATGAGGACAACAACTACTGCTGCTACGGCTCCTGTCCTCCTACTACTAGAGCAACAAATAAAAAAGAAAAAAAAACACAAACATCTGTAAGCACTGCTGCTATTACTACTTCTTCCTCTATACTTATTTATTAGTCCTCCACTATCACTACCACCGTTACCACCGTTACCACCGTTACCACCACCACCACCACCACTGCTCCTCCTACTTCTGCTGCTGCTGCTACTACTACTACTCCTCCTCCTACTCCTGCTTCTAGAATACTACTCATAGCTGTCATAGCTCTTGGCGAAAACTGTATCATTGCGACTACGACTGCGACTAGAAAGGCTTCGGCTACGACTTCCAACTGCTGCTTCTGCTACTGCTAATACAACTACGACGACGACCTACCACTGCAAGCGAAGCAATAATCATAACCCTACGCCAAAACAAGTAACAGTAACAAGAACAAACCTAACAACCATCATCACTCATCACCATAGCAAAAACAATAACAGAAAAGCCAACCATGCTGGTAATACGAACATAGCAGTGATTGAAAACAAAAAACAATAGTTACACTGCTGCGCTTCTTTTACCCGCACCACCGCAGCCGTAGCGCAGCAAACCGTGTCATCAATTCATAATCACAATACCACAGCACATCATGGCCACAAGAAACAGTAGCACGAGCAATTAGCACAGGACGACTGACACCGCAGCATGCCGCAACTGCAAAGAACTACAAATAGGAAACGAAGGACAACAGTAAGCGGCAGTATCTATCGAGCCGGTGTGAGAGCACGGTTGTGCTTGCATCCTGGAACACAGTCGATTCACGAACTTCCGCCCTAAACCGTAAACCCTAAGCCTGTGCACAGACAGTGAACAGTTTGTACAGACCTCGCCTGACAAAGTCGCTGTGAGGCGTCCCAGGCGGACCGTAAGCATAGAAGGATTGGTTGGCAGAATGGACTGACCTGGCCCATCAAAAATATATGCCCAACTGCTGTTCAGCTAGTCCTGCATGACACCACCCGGTTCTGGCGACACATGAAGGCCCTCACATTGACAACAATCCGGATGCAGCCACTACAGTTCACTGCCTGCCACATGATGCCTCGTGAAAACTCGTGCAGCTATCTGACTATATCACTATAATCAGATGCAGCACGAGTGCAAGTAACGGCTATGGATGGAGCAACATAGACTTACCCAAACCCAAGGTTTTGCGGTTCCCGAAGAGAAGGGCAAATGGCGTCACACAATCATAACCTGCTCCGCCAAGAAGAAACTTTGAGCGACAGCGTGCAGCCAAGCGGCCGTTTCGCTGCCGGCGGCTCGGATCGTGAGCCCTGCAATGCTTGCCCGTTGGCTTCTGTAGCCACAGCAGCAACCTGCAAAGGCAGGAACCGGCAGGTCCGTCCGGTAAGTGAGCCGCAGCCTTCTCCTGCCGCGGTGGCGCCGATGGCACAGCCGGGGACTGGACGTCCTGACATGAAGCTTTCACATGATCGGGCATGTCGGCTGGACAGGTGGAGACTGTGGGTTGGTCGAAGAGTTGCAAGGGGCTTAAGCAGCCTTGGTTCGTGGGGGGCAAACTTGGGAGTTTCCGAAAACAGGGGACCCTAATAATATGGTACCCTATAAATAGTAGGATCCTTATTATAAGGACCCCAAAAAAAGTTAAAAGAAGGTACCCCACTTTTCGGAAACTCCCACTTGACTTGGATGGCCTCCGGAAGCGCTGTTGCGTCGCCTTGAGTCCAGCCTTCGTGGGACCGTCGGGCTGCAACACTGACACGGTGCCTAATATAGGGGCTTTAAAATATGCTAACTATACGGAGAATAAGCAACTCCCACAATTGTATAGGCAATATCTTAGGCCCCACATTGTACCTGTCAATGTATCTCAGCAAAACAGCTCACAGGTGCCAGTAGCCAGTAGCCCGAACATGGATGCACATGAAAGACTAGGCCGTCGCAGTCCAGGGGCCGTGCCCTCTCGGATCTCGCTCTGATCCTTAATCAAGTTCAGGGAATCTAGTTCATGGTTGGGGTAGGATTATAAATGTACATTTTGATTCCTTATTGGGTTTAAGTACCCATAAACATGTAAAATGCTACCCAACTATGACAAAGGAATGTGGAGTTTAGCTCGGCTCATGCTGCAGGAAGTCTTCGAGTTTCGATATGATGTAGTGGCGCTCTTTTCGCGCATGCGGCGCAACCATGTCCAGAACACCCTAGAACCTAAGCCAGAGTTGGCCGGGATTTAAATGTTCCCTACAGCTTTGGTCTACCGGAGTAGAGCTGCCCATCTTCAACGTGTTGGAACTTTCCATACTTCTCCACGTTCGTGTTGGTGCCACTGACATGACGTCCAACGAAACCGTCCCACTTGGACAGCTCGTCCTTCGCGATGGTGATCAGGTGCACCATGTCCGGACCGTCCGCCACACGGAGAGTGCGCATGCCTGTGTACCTCATGTGCTATCAGCTCTATGCCACCCTAAACCCCCAACTGACAGGTGAAACTTGCCATGAAACTTGGAAGCATGGCTGAATACGGCCCAGGAACATGCTGGCCAGGTGGGAGTCTTGCGAGACCCCGTGGGCGCCATGCAGCTGTATAGCATCGTCGATAATCTTCCTCAGCAAGTCGTAGGATCCGCCAGCAGGTGCTTCTGTGTTTGTGAATGATGTAGGGACCGATGTATCCGTGAATGTTGGCACAAGACCAGACAGCATGAACCTATGTTTGTATACCTACGCGTGCATATGTTGGTCTACATGTCTATAGGATTCTGACCGTTCATGTAATTAGTTAAGTAGGTGCACATGAAGTAACCGTATCAACGTCGAGAACAGATCGGCTTTCAGAGTCAAAGCCTCGCGGGACTCCGCGGGCATCCAACAAAAGCAGATTCTCAAGAATGCCCCTAGGAGTCAAGGCAGCGCGCGGAGCTGCCACCTTGATCATGGCGATGTAGCTCTTGGCAGCCTGCGAGGTGACGGGCTTTGGGTTTAGGATGGTTTAGGGTTTATCCCACCAGGCTGGCCACCTTAGACCTTTTGAGTGTGTTTCGGGAATTTCAGCGTCCCGTAGCTTGCTTCGACTATCGCAAGAGCAAACTGACTGTGGCTGCGAAGAAGTAAAGGCCGATGATCCGACTGAAGGACTCCGCTCCGAAGAAGCTGAACGATGCAGCACCCGTTCCTTGAAACCCTGCTCATCCGCCACCACAGCTGCCAAATAGCCTGGGGATGGCTGTTGCTGGGAGAGGGGCTATGGCTATGGGACAGCCAGCTTGAGCTACGCATATAAAGTGACAGCTTGCCAACTAGAGCAAATCGTCGCTTGAAAACCCATCGCGGTAGTGCTTCGCTCCCCCCCCACCCCCCATGTGCAGAGTGACATCCCTGGAGACTCCGGATGAAGCTGCTGCTTCGGCATGGGGCTACACGCTTTGCGCACTCAAGGATGATCGGAATTGCAAGTCGTCGGCCTGGAGGGCCATGAATGTTAGAAGTGAGCACCCGTTGCTGCAAGAGCTTCTTGCCCCGCAAGCCGAGAAAACCAGTAAATCCAAACCCGCGAGCCCCCAGACTTAAGTGCGGGACAGCCTGAAACACTACAGCTGAAGCCCTGCAAGCCTGCAGAAGCCTTCGAACCTTCAAACCTTGCTTCCTCTGTGCACCCATCGACCCTTGCAAACAGTACTAGCTTTGAAGTTCTGCGAAACATTCCAACTTGCAGCCCATCTGAGGTTCCCACAGGGCTCCCCACTTCCCTCCAACTGTTCCGTTTAGGGTTTAGGGTACACGTCCCAGTGCCAGGTGGCACCGGATTGGAAAATCTCCTTCCCCTCCTTTTGCCCATCCTACACACTTAGCCGATTCTTCTTGTTTGCAACGACTGGACAATTTTCCGATCAGGGTGGCTAGGGGATGTCCGAAAATAGGGGACCCTCATATACCCTCATGTAGTGCCCTAAATAGTAGGACCCTTATTTTCAAGACCCTACAAAATCAGGCAACCCCCCCCCCACCCCCCCAAATTTGCGGAAACTCCCACCAAGGCCGAGCCACAGAGCTGACGGCACTTGGTTATCTCAATGCGAGCCTTGCGAACTTTCGGTGCTCAATGGTTCGGGGTGCTAAGGATATGAAGACTTTAGAGCGGGGATCGGGCAGTTTTTCCCCATTGGTCGACGGCTAGCAACCTATGAATTGGACTGACTAGGTAAGTCAGTTTCTTTTGTGCCTTTGATTCTTTGAGCTCGAACATAAACCCTTAACCCTGCAAGCCCCAAACCCCTAAAGCCGTGGCTTACCATTCATGCAAACACGACGGCAGGCTGCTCAGGTAGCATCATCTTCAGAATTACGCAAGTCCCTTGTTCTTAATCTGCATCATGCAGAGTCATTATAGTAAGCCCTGAAGCATTACATTGGACGCTTCCCCAGGCACCTCTGCAATGGCCATTCGAACTGCGTCCTTTTGCGCGAGCAACTTGCCGAATGCTTTCCGCCGATGAGCACGATCCACCTTGCGAGTGCTGATCGGCTGCAACAGTGTGTAGAGTGGAGAGCAAAATGCTTCCTGGCACTTAGAAGTCAGCAGTTTCAAATCCTCGGAAGAAGACGCTTGATCGTGCGAGGTATATGGCGTGCCGCGGCATGATTCTCAAGTGGCAAGTCGTTGCGTCTCTGAACTCCCGCCAAAACGGCCATCCTCCAAACTTCTCCCAGCATCTCCAAATGCGGGTCAAACATTTAAAAAGTAAGCCCATGCAAGTAGCATTGCTTCTGCTACATGTTTTCAAACATCAAGCCCGCTCAAGGAACCGTGACAGCTCGTCGTCGCAAGCCAATTTGTGCAGTAGACACAAAGTTCAGAAAGATGGTACTTGGTACAGTACACGTTACTTCATCATCACAATTTCCATCATCGTGGTCATCATCTCGCAATTCTCATCATCACAAACATCAGCACCATCACCATCATATGAGGAGCACCATCAATGCCACCATCTGGATGATGTAAGAATCCTAAAGCCCTCGACCCTACACTTCCGGCTCCCAATGCGCAGCCCGAGTCGCCATGGCGGCCAGCGCCATCTCAGCCAAGCCCAAAGACCTGGCTCTCGCAGCAGGGAAGGGGGGTCGCAGCAGGGAAGGGGGGGGTTGGGAGGGGGCTCGGGGGGTAGTCTTAGTAGCTGTAGCAGCATGGCAGCAGCGACAGCAGTACAAGCAAGGTAGGCGTCATTGTTATGGCCACATCCAAAGCAAAGCAGCAAGACCAGCAACAGCAGCAGATTTTGCAAATAGCGACATACTGAAGCTGTCACACAAGCTGTCCGATCTTCCTCCGTTCTGCTGCAGGCTTGCACGCAAGGACTCCTGGTAGTTTGCCGCTCTTCCGCCAGTTAGGACTGTCCGGTCTTCACCTAAACCCCTTTTTGCATCCAGGCCTATTGCGGTGAACCCTAAACCCTAAATCCTTTTTGCCACTGGACTCAAGCAAACCCTAAATCCTAAACCTCAAACCCTAGATCCTAAACCCTAAAATCTTGGGCCAAGTCGCCGCATGCAGTGATGTATCCGCCCTGGTCCGAGGCGGCTCTGGGCGATCTCGAAGCCGCGGCCTTCGCCCAACAACATGTTGGACCTGATGAGGGTCTGCAGTTCTTTTTCTGGAGACAGGGAGGGGGGGGTTATGTTTTTTGTTGTGAAAGCTCCTTTTCGCAACCGCAGACATGGGGCTATAGGATTTAATTCGGGTTTAGGGTCTAGGTTTCAGAGTGGAATAGCTGGCAGAGTGCCAAGGAGCATAGCGAATAAAGACCTGCAGGTCGTCACAACCAGGTTGGTGGATACTCCCTCTGTGGTTTGAACTAGCTTTCTTGGAAGAGTCGGCAGATCAGTCCTGCTTGCCCCAACAGCTTATGGGAACGTTGAATTAAGGACTTATGCAGGAACCTCATTTTAAGAAACCTTGGGCCTTTATTAGGGTTCCTTATATGAATCCTACTATTCTGGGATGACATGCCCATTGTGTCTTAATCAGGCTCCTACATTAAGGACCCCGGGCTTGGCGCTTCAGGAGCTTCTTGAGGGTCGGAGTTTTGGATTTTGGTCTTAGTGCTTTAGGGGTTTGATGTAAGAACCTGATTAAGAAACCCTGGGCCTATACCCCCAAAATAGTAGGATTCATAGAAGGAACCCTAACAAAGACCCAAGGTTTCTTAATCAGGTTCCTACAAAATACCCCCGAGATCTCTACAAGTCAGAGTGGCTTTGGGACGCGCACATTGTCGAAAACGATCTCAGCATGGTCGTGCTCTTCACCAAACACTGCCAGGGGCCGCAGGATTTTCACCCCCGGCGTCTCTTTGGGAACCAGGATCCTGAGTGCCAGGGTTCGGTCTAAGTGCTGTGGGATAAGAATGCCAAGAGCAGTAATAATTTACAGTAATCACAATAGACTGCTAGTCACAATAGATAGCTGAGACTACTGCTATATTCTTCTAGGTATGCAGAGGGACGTTGATGCACTGACCTCGGGCCTAGGGGGCTTCCTGCTTGGAAACGGAAGAAGCTGATGCCAAATGCAGACTCATTGTCATGGACTGCTGCTTGTGGAGGGGGCCGCTGAAGCTAGTGCGGCCCAGAACGACAAAGACTTTGCATTCGGGCCGGATAGCCCCTGAAATCCACCACTTGTGGCCATTGATCAGGTAGTGGTCACCATCGGATTCAATCTTCGTGCAGATGTTCGTGGCATCGCTGGAGGCTACGCCGGGCTCCGTCATGGCGAAAGCTGACCGGATCTCACCGTTTAGCAGAGGCTCAAGCCAGGTCTTCTTCTGCTCTTCAGTGCCAAACTTCTCCAGGACCTCCATGTTACCTGTGTCCGGCGCGGAGCAGTTCATAGCTACGTTGGCCACGCCGTTGGTGCCAAGGATCTCTGCGATTGGGGAATACTCCAGGACGGAGAGCCGGGAGACTTCAGGCAGGAAGAGGTTCATCAGGCCGCGAGCTTTGGCTTGCTGGCGTAGCTCCCTCATGACCGGCGGCTCTGGGCACTGTGTAGGATGCGACACTGTTTTCAGTAGGTCCCTCTTCTGCTGCGAGTATGTGGGCAGAGCAGGGTTCACGACATCCTGGACAAAGTCGATCACCTTCGCCCTCACTTCGAAGAAGCGGGGCGTCAGCTTCTCTTTGTAGGGCATCAGGGCATCTGGAAGCTCGGGGCCCATAAGCTGCATGGTCAGCAGGAAACTACAGGGCACCCCAAGAAGTGATGAAGCTATGGCTGCGGTGAAGAAGACGACATCTAAGCGATAATCATGCTACTCATGCTGCTGTACGGCGACACCCGTGATACGCTGCCCACACGTAGATCAGCTGGTTTCCGCGATCTGGGAATTACATGCCGCCTCAACAAGAACATCAGTTTCAGACCCTGCGCAGCACTGCGCAAGGACGCGATCACGCCCATTGCCCCGGCATAGACTCGAACGTCCAAAGCTCTGGACTGAAGCCATCGCCCGAACAGCCAGAATCAACAAATTAATCGTGCAAGCATGGAACAAATGAGCTGAAGTCCCCTCAGAAGGACGAGAAACTACCATAGCTCAAAGCGAACTCGAGAGAGTAGCGCTCCTTCGTTGACGCAAACCACAGCTCCCCAAAGTCATCGCACAGATATGACCGAGCTTTGTGACAAGCATAACCGTAGATGATGATAGAAAGAGGCCCGTAAGTCAGGGGCATAGGCAGCTGCCACCTCTTTGGGGCTGTACCTGGCGGCTTGTTCTATACCGCTCTTAGAACCATAATAAACATATCATCTGAATATTCTCTTGGATTTTATATAAACAAAAATTAAAAATAGTTCCTAAGGAGACTATAGTGTTTCGGGGACATCGAGTTGGAGTTTGCTGCCGGGTTCTTTGGGCCGAACCTTTGGAGGGCTGCTGTCAAAATTAAGGGCCCTTGTTGGGTCCCCTGACTAATGGGTGCCGTATAATAATAAGGACCCAAAAAGGGACCCTAAGATAGGCAACCACCCGTATGAGTGTCTGTATGTACCACACCAAAGCCTCTCCAACCCACAAAAATGCTTTTGGCCCCCTGTGGCTTACTGCCGTAGACCCAACTAGCTCGCTCAAAGCGCCAACAACACTATTTGAGCGTAACATACATCTTAGATGTTGCACGGCAAAAAGCAGTATATATATATATATATATATAGAGAGACAAAAACCAATGGACGCAAACTTCTGGGGTGTTCAAGGTTTAAGTGTGAGGTTGGGGGTAACTCTACCATGCGGCTTTGCCGGGCGAGGCGGCAAAGACTGGTTCTGCCTTGCTTAAACTTCATGGCGGCCTGTCCTGAAACTACCTAGAGGCTTCTTAGTAGTTCCCTTTGGTGGTTTGTATTTAGAATCCTATAAGGTATTCCCCAGAAGGAACTACTATCAAGCCTATGGGAGCTGTGAGTTCACAGCTGCATAGAGCTGCTAACCAGGCAAAAAGCCATGATCCAAAGTGATGCAGCTTCTTTCGGACAAAACTCTTAAGTTTACGGTCGCCCCGACGGACCCCACAGCTGCTAAATTATAGGGGCCTAAACAACTACCTATACTATTTCGGGGGTTCCTCATTATGAATACTATATCGGGGGGTCCTTGTTATAATTGTAGTACAGCGGGCCCCCACTACCTATTCTAACATTTCAAACCCCTATTGTAATCACATGCCGGCCGGACCAAAGCCGTGAATCACTCTTACGATCAAAGCTGCCATAGTAGGAACTCCTGAGCTCCAGGGCAGCACTTAAAGCCGAGTAGCGGCTGCATCATCACCTTCTTAAACTAGGGTGCTCAAGGCGGACATCTCGCCTAATATTAGGGCCTGCATAGTATAAGTATTATGAGAAACGTAGTGGTAGAAAGTATTCGGACCCTACCAGTAGGTTAGGGAGATGCTGGGTGAAGCGTTCAGCCTTGCTGCGAAGGCAGGCGCTGAAGTGTCTCTGAGGCGAGCGCATGACATGCCGCCGGCAAGGGCAGGGGCAAGAGCGGTGTTCGAATGTCTTTATGCAGCTGAAAGTTTCGTAGGTCTCGTAATTAACACTGGCCACCCCCAGGCCCCATGAATTCTGCCTTCCCTTCCTATCTTGCTCATGTTGCACGGAAACTTCAGACGTCCCTAGCACGAAAGAGGCCCAAGGCCCCGAAACTTTTTAGGTTTAGCTTTCTAGCTCTGCACGGGGCGAAGTCTTATGCCGTTCTCTTCTTGATTCATATGGGGGTTTCCGAAAATAGGGGACCCTAATTCGTCCCTTAAGGACCACGAAATAAGTTTCCCGCAATTTTAGGAAACTCCCAAAGAGAGCCTTAAGCTCCTGACTTGAGCACGCAGCACAGGGCTTCCGAGACGAGGCTTCGCTTTCAGACTGCGGGTGCTTAGAAGAACTGAAAAGAGGATGCCGCAACAGCCTCGGAACGGTTTAGGGTTTCGGCGCTCAGACTCGGACAACGGTTTAGGGTTTAGGGCGACCAGAAGGCCACAACCCAACCCTACACCACCTTCAACCCCAAACCCTCACCTGGTAAACCTCCAAATGCCCACCCCCCCAGATCCCCAAAACCCTGAAATCCCGACATCCCCCAAAGCGACCCCAAGCTACAAACCGTCCCAAACACACGCTACTACTGTTGATGATATAAATCCTGCACTACCTTGAGACCCTTATATAAACTATGGGAATTATGGTATATTCCTTATTATGGGTAATGCAGGATTTATATCATCAACCGTAATTACCCCTCTGAAGCCAACTTTTCTCCCGGCGCCCGGGGCCGCCGGCTTTGAAAGCCGAGGACCGACTCGGATCTTCGAGACTTCCAGTGAGTTTCGGGTTAAGGGTTCCTTAAAGGGATCTACAAGGGTACTGTAAGGGGTTCTATGAAGGGTTTAGGGTTTAGAGTTTCCGAAACTTAGGGGTACCTCATTCTAAGGGTCCTTACTTACAATAAGGATCCTACAAATTGGGGTATAATAGTCGGGTCCACAAATTTCGGAAACTCCCATTGGGGTTGCTGGGTTTAGGCTTCAAGGCTTATGGGCTTAGCTAGTACGGTCGTATATGAATGAATGTATGTATGTACGTGTGTATGTACTGAAGTATGGAATGTATGTATGTAGGTGCTTCATTTGTTCAACACCAATCTTGTTAACGTATGTGTGCCATATGCATGCAAACATGAGATATAGATTTTAGATTTATGGCCTTCAGGGTATAGGATGGTTTGGGGTTTCAACCCAGTGGGTACACCAGAAACGAGCACTCAAGAAACGAGACGAACAAGAACATGTAAACGTCCACACACACACACACACACGCATTACTCCACATAGAAGTGTGGTCACATTCTTCATGCCTACTGATGCTGTCCAAGCACTAAATCAGGGTGAGAGCTGTGTTGCTGGTGCTATGCGTCAGCGACTTCAGGGAGTTGGCATTGTACTGACTTAGACTCTTTTTGGCCAATCCGGGTGAGGCTTTCGATCTGCTCCGTGCTGAAAGTTCGAACCGGCATCGTGGCTCAATTTGTCACCTATGTTCGACACTTAATTGTCTTTCAACATGCTAGCGAGTAGTGCAGCTACCGTTGGTATCTATCGCAGCTCGTGACCGTCTGCTCGCGCGGTGACAAGCAAAAAGTGGTGCGCGACGCGAATTTCCACTGCTTTACGCCTCACAAAATGTCAACTTACGCTTAGGCGCAATGCAGCTTTTAGAGGTGCACTTCGCTGTGAGGTCAAGGACGCCACTCTTTCAGGGTGCGCCATGGCCTCTACGAGAGTCATTATCGGGCAACAGCTAGGTGCGACAGGTGACGAGGTCTATGCATGCTGCACCTAAGGCAAGTCGAGCACAAGTCTCATTCTCCGACCATTTACCCATGCGGATGCATCATCTACAGTACCGACGAACCCAGAGTAGCTGAGTAGCTCTCAAGCTCACCTGCGCCCTGCTGTCGCCAGGAGAGATTCTTGCGTTCCAACGGAACCCTTTGGCCACGTGCCGACCTAGATGCCAACTCGGGGCCCATGCTGGCGCTTCAGGTTAGCAGTCGAACATATCGGACACTGTGGGTCGATTATGGGGTTAGTTAAGGTTCTTCAAACGAAAAAGTTTTCACCGAACACACGTCTCCTGTCTTGGCACGATGTTGGTAAACTCCAAGGGGCCCCTTACTGTTGACCAAGAGCCACTTGTACCAAGAAGGCTGCGAATTTCTACTCTGGCTCCTGGATGTAGGACTCAGAAGAACTCGTCCTGCGCGTTTTCACTTGCCACAAACGGGTCCAACAGAACAGGATGCAGGGCTGGCTATGCAAAGTGAATTTAGTATTGCGTCAGATTTGTTCTCACACGTTTTCATGAGCTTATGAAGCTTCTGTTGGCATATAGACAACAAACATGGTATAGGCCCTTTTGGCTTACAAGTACTTGTAATCACATATCCCATGCTTGTTGGTTGAACCGTTTCCGCTGCAGAGTTTACTACGCTGTTCCTTACCTTTGGCTAGTGGGGAATGGGGTACAATTATAACTATAACTACTATTACTGGGTTGTAGTTTTGGGGCTCTGAAAAGTATTTATGAATAAGTCCCTCTATGGGAACCATAAGGGGAATTAAAAAGTTTCCCAAATTGCCACCTAGATGACCACCATTCCATTCCCTACTAACCAAAGGCTATATTACTACCATATTACCACCATATTACTATCATACTACTACCATATAACTACTATTACTACCACCATTCCATTCCCTACTAACCAAAGGTAAGGTTCGGAGGCGGAAGCTCCAGGCCGCGGAGGACGTGCACAGAACTCGCGAGGAAAGCGCTTTTACGATCCCTGACGGTTTCGGATTGAGGAGTCCAGGGTTTGAGGCCCTAAATATCCCTAGAATGGGTTGCATTCGGAAGTTGAAAGTCCAGAAACGTGCCAGTACGAACTCAGGAGGTTCAGAATTCTGGCGCACCATCTAATCTCCAGAGTTATTCGGACCAATGCCCCAATATAAACATACTTCAGAAATCACCCCTCTTTTGCGCGGTGGGGGGGGGTGGGAAGGGGGGGGTTCGGAAAGGTCCGGACCTATTTCCCGACATCCGTGAGGGTCAGGGACTCTCACTGGAGCATGCACCGGGCAGTATGAGGACCAAGGATGGCTTGGAGAATGGCTATGATTGAATCCAGCACTATCGAGCCTTCTGCCAGTTCCCTGGATATACCACAACTACAGGTACAAACTATATGCATGTATGCATACATACCTACATACATACGTCGATATACATCGACAGCCACAGGGACCCCCCCCCCCCCCCTTATCTGCCCCCTGAGAGCCCCCTACCGTTGTCTCAAGCCCGAAGGGCAAGGCTGACGCCGTTGAGGAAGGTATAGGGCCTTAATGCCTATAATAAGGGCGCTTAATAAGGCCTGTTGAAGTAAGTATAGTCCCCTATTTTTTTCCCTACGAGAGAAGCACGGAGACGAGCCAGCAAGTACTTTCCGGAAGTCTGTGGGATAATCACCCCACAAAGAGCCCCCAAGACCACGAACTTCCCTAAATTCAATGGTAGCATGCCATACAATACCCTAAACTCTCAACTTCGCTAACCAAGGCTTCGAAGCATCAAGCAACCTCACGCCGCCCCGAGGATACTTCAAAACTATGCCCAAAACCCACGGATCAATCGCGTTCTCACAATGCTGAAGGTAACTGTTTTGGGGGATGTCTTTCCAAGTCAGGATGCTAATTCGGTTTCTCTATTAAGATGTTGGCCCCTTCTTTTCTGAAAGCCCCTTCAACCCTGTTTGAGCAGGGGCTGCAGTGCACATGCCCTGGGGCTGCATCTTTGAGGCACCTGTTAACCTCATGATCCTCCAAGTACCCCTTCTAGATATTACAAATCCTCTACAGGGGCCTCTATAGATGCAATAGATCCTTGAAGGGAGCCCTTAGATATTATAGATCCTCTAAAGGAGCCACTATAGCCTATAGCCAATAAGATCCGTTAAGGGAGCCCTTTAAGGAACCCCCGAACCCCCGATTTTTATCCACGGGAACCTCCGTCTCCTTCTGCTCCATGTCCCGGCTAGGGCCTCGCTCTCATGGAGCGCCCATAAGGTTTCGGGCTTTGGGGCTTCTTCCGCTGGTGTTGGTGTGTGTGTGTGTGTTTTTCTGCTATGGGTTTTGAGCTTACAGGGGCACAGTTTCTGTCGTGGCACCTGCCTGCAGTACCATTTCTGCTGCACTGACCACAAATGCCAAACGATTCCGCGAAATTGCACACGAGGAAGAAGCTGATAAAGCAGAAGTGCATGCAGAAGTGGGAGAGAAGGAGAGCGGTGTAAAATACAGGCGAGCAGTGGCAGTGGTCGTAGCTGGTAGCCGTAGAAGTAGTAGAAGTAGTAGAAGTAGTAGTAGTAGTAGTAGTAGTAGTAGTAGTAGTAGTAGTAGTAGTAGCAGCAAAGTAGCAGCAGCAGCAAGAGATACCCAGCAATCTCCACACCCCAACAAGCCTCGACCCTGAAGCTCGAGCAGAAGTGGCTAAAATCTCAGATCACCGCTCTGGGCTGCATCCATCGTGGGGGTGGACTCGATGCTCGCACCTTCCCCGGTCAGGGCCAGAGTTGGGCGGCTTGTCTTCTCGTGAACCGGAAGGATCAGGTAGGAATTGCTCAAAAGTTGCCGAAGCGCGGAATCAAACCTGCCCCGCACATTGCGTTGAGTGCCGTACTTGAGTCGATGACCGCGGTACTGCAGCTCATGTTGCCTTCCTCCTCACCGCGGCGTGGTGCTTTTCAGGTGACTTTTGGGTCTTTGGTAAAGCTTTTTCTCGGACATGAGGGCTGTTGGGTGGGGACGGTCGGGTAGAAACAAAGCAAGCGTAACTCTGAACTCTGGACGCCCTTGACCAAGAGTCCTCCTGCTCACTTCGACTGTCCTTGGAACTCCGTTCCTTCGCAGGGGTTCTCAGTTCTGAAGGGGCCTCCTTCGATCCTTTCTTCGGGGCTGAGGTCCGCCGGGCTGCTGGGCTTAATGCATCAGTTAGGTTTTCGGGCGATTCAGGGGAGGTTTGTCTGCTAAACCGATGTTACATGAGCCGCCATTGCTACTCCATGTGCAGACCCGCAGTCGCGCATTCTGGTATGTAAACAATGAACTAATCAACAACTTGTAAATCCTAAAGTTAACCTAAACGTACTCTGTGAACTCGATGTTCCAGAGGTCAGGGGGGGTGGGCTTCAGGCGGCCTTAAGCCTGAGGCTCCGAAGACCACTCTGCCTACTAGGGTACCAAAAAGTTAAAAAGTTCCGAGGATGCGCATTGAGTCTTTTTCGCCGTGTCAAGGCCAAGTAGAGTTGAATCAGAGAGGAGGAGGGATAAAGGGGACTTGGACATGCACCACTTCCCCAAACTAACCCTACAAGCCAAGAAGAGTCTGGCCGAACTCCGATCCAACACCCGTGACAAAAATCAACGCCTTTCTTCCCTCTACAAAGACCCATATAACTGCTACGATACATATCACAAGGACCCCTATCACAAGGACCCCGAGTGTAAAGGAGCTACCCTTTCTGTGGATCTCCTGCTGGGCCGCCTCCTCGTCGGGTGGGTCTGTCTCCTTTGGTCTTTGGCTTTGAGAGGTGTTAGGTCTGTGGTCGAGCTTTCGACAGGGTGTGCTTCAGAACAGCGCGCAGAGGAGACGTATCAGAAATCAGAAGTCATACAATACAATGCCAGTAACTTTGTCTGGGTACCGTCGCACTGGGTACCCAAACCCAATCCTGTTCTTCTTATCCGCCCTGGAGCCAGAACCCTAATACCCTTGCTTTGGCACTGGCACTCCCTTAATACCCTTTTGCATCCCTTTACGTTTTCGCGAAAGCCTGAGCCCCTGAACCTCAAATATCTTCAACAACGAGCCAAGCGTCCCCCTCTTGTCGAGGTACCCCACGGAACTTGGGCCAGGAAGCGTCTCCCAAGCGATCGTCTTGGAAAGATGGCAGAGAGAGCCGCTTCCTGGGCTCATACACTACAACTTACCACGGTCAGGAAAGGTTCTTGCAGTTACTATACATCCTCTTTGCCCTAGGACGACCATCATGAAATATCACGAATAGCCATTCTACCATTCTTCTGAGTACTACTCAAAGCTACCATTTTAGGGTATTTCAAGCACAACTCCTCAAGAGAAGCCCAGCTTCTCCATCTCTTTGGGCAGCTGCTCCCCGACTCCCGGGGCACTGAGCCGGTAGCGCCTGGAGGGAGGCGCCGTCTCCTCGGATCCCCGGAGGGCCCCACCAGGCTTCGAGAGACTCCGCCGTTCCGCGTCCCTCTTCGCATTGGCCTCTACCTGAAACATCCAGAGGCTTTTTTGGCTTTTTTGGAAAGGCCAGTAAGAAACTCAGCGGCATTCATGGGCATGACCCTTATCATGGTGTAGCTGACAGAACGTGCTTTCAAGGCCTCTTTGGCGAGCTTCTCGGCCACCTGGCAGGTATGGAAGAAGGTCCGAAGCGCCAAGGGGCGCCATGCTATTCATGGTGCTCCGTGCTGTGCTGCCACTGCCAGACAATCCAAGAAGCGAGCCTACTGCCAAGTGTCACAGCAAGATGCAACCTCAATCCACGCTCCAAGCCTGCATGCCCCTAAACCCTAAACCACGCTCCCATGATTCAACCCCGAACTTACCACCTCAAACCCTGCCCCCCCCTGCCCATCATGAGGCGGTGCTCACCTCTTGAGCTTTCTCCTCGTCAGACCAGAAGTGGCAAATCACGAGAATGGAAGATTCGAAGATCTAGTTTTGTTGCCAAAAGGTTTGGACAAACTTGAGTTTGGTGGAGGGCTCGTCAGGTGTTCCGTTTATGGTGTCGGGGCTCGCACACGAAGCTTCGAACTTGTTGCGCTGAATCTTGCAGCCCGCGATGTGATTCTCGGCTAGTCATCTGACGGTCAATCTGACCATGGTTCAAGGATGTACAGGCCGGCAAGCATGAGATTTTAGGGGCTCTAGGTCGGCTAGTGGCGCCATGATCCAAACAAGAGTTTTTCTTGCCAGATGCAGCAGCGTCCTAAGAACAACGGCACGTGAAAGAAGTCAGCTGATGACCCAACACGTTGCTCTCGGGGCCCTGGCTGGACACATATCTTCTGCTTCGTCTTCTTCTTCATCCTCCTGGGTTCCAATCTGGCTCGACCAGATCCGCCGAAAAAGAGTGCAACTCCCTGCTTTAGAAAGGATCGTAAAGTTGAAGGGCTAGGTCAGGATAACGTCGGTGCTGCTGGCATGTTGAGAAACACATCGGGATCCAAGGCAGAAAGCTACTTTTTGGGGGCTTTCCCTTATCACCACCACTTGCTAGACCCTTATGCTTTCCCACTTCGTGCTTCCCGCCTCTTCTTCCTCCTCCTCCTCCTGGTCCGTGCTCTGGGCATCCGGCGCCTCGGCGGAAGTCGGGTGCTGGCGGTGGGTGTTTACTGTGGGCACCGAAATAACTACCCATTCTGTTTTGGTTAGTTGCAAGTTTTGGGTCGAGCTTCCATGAGCACTACGGACCGCACAGAACAGAACATAATACTATTTTGGAGTTTCCTTATTATAAGTATAGAGTAATGGGCACCAAAACCCTGTCCTAACCATCAAGGCCCCATACTAGCTGCTTTCAGGTTTGTCGGATGTGATAGCCTTCCTCATGCTTGCCTATGGCCAAAGGCTCCTCCGATACACTGAGCGTCCTGGCCTGAGCAAACTCCTCATATGAGAGTTTCCGAAAATTAGGGGTACCTTAGTATGGAGTCCTTGTAATAAGGATCCTACTATTTGGGGTACAATATTAAGGTCCCCTATTTTCGGAAACTCCCGTATCCATACTCGCAACACCATCGAACACCGATCACGCTGCCAAGAATCCTAACAGCCTGCAACAGGACTCTCCCGGTGCCCAAATAGGTAGTTGTCAAAATGATGGTCCGTTTTTGGGTCCTTAGTATAATACGGCAGCTAAGATTTAGGGTGCCCAAAAAGGCCCAAATCTACTCACTAAGGCAAGTCCCTTCGAGGAAGCCCTGTGACAAAGCGCCTCTGCGCCGAAGCTGGCCAACTGTGGCAGGACGGGGACCTGACGAAAAAGGCCCCAGTCCATAATATCATATGATACAACAGAATGAAGTTTACATACATTAACATGCAGCAACAACACCAACACCAACACCAACACCAACACCAACACCAACACCAACACCACCACCAACACCACCACCACCACCACCACCACCACCAACAACAACAACACCAACAACAACACCAACACCAACACCAACACCAACACCAACACCAACACCAACACCAACCACCAACACCACCACACCACACACCAACACCACCACCACCACCACACCAACACCAACACCAACACCAACACCAACACCACCACCACCACCACCACCACCACCACCACCAACAACACCAACACCAACACCAACACCAACACCAACACCAACACCAACACCAACACCGACACCGACACCAACACCAACACCAACACCAACACCAACACCAACACCAACACCAACACCAACACCAACACCAACACCAACACCAACAACAGCAACAGCAACAGCAACAGCAACAGCAACAGCAACAGCAACAGCAACAGCAACAGCAACAACAACAACAACAACAACAACAACAACAACAACAACAACAACAACAACAACAACAACAACAATTTCATTATTAGACGCTGAGCGAGCGGGCTCTGCTCATTGCGGGCGTGTGAAACTGCCTTTGCACCTGAGCAAAGAGCTGAGAGCAGAGTAAAGAGAGCCTGGGCCTGGAGTCTTGAGACTGGCAGTCAGCAGTAGACAAAACTTAAAGCTACAAGCTACTTCAGAGGCCGTCACTTGTCACTCAGTTGGGTGAGAAACCCTCCGTCACCCTCAGTGTGGACTATGGCGTCCCATGTCCACGAACCAATGATTGATGAGCCGTACCCAACGGGCCGTCACTCGGAGTGCCTGTTTCGTGGCGTCCCACTCATGGTCACTCACAATCAGAGGCGGTGGGCCGTAAGGTCGCAAAGTGATATTATGTCCGTGGCCAACCAATGGAGGTAGTAGAAGCTGCCCACGCCTCGGCGTAGGCTCATGGAGAGAGACTGTGTCCAACCCGATCTAGCATGGCGTAACTGCCTCAATGTGGCAGTTGGGCGTGCTCACACATAGTGAGCAACGAGCAGGCTCGTGAGTGCGAATATGCTGTTGACTGAGGCAGCTCTTCTTTTTTGGCTAAGAGCAGAGTGCATCGGCAAAGTCACGGCACCCCCGGGAGCTGAAGCTCCGTGCCATGAAAGGCCAATGAAAGATTAAATTTCGTGGACGGATCAGGCGTTGCCTGCATGCGAGCTGCGAGCGTTGCCCGACGTAACTAGCTGAAGCTACGTCGCGTGAAGGCTCAAGAGATCTGTCAGCCCTAAGGGAGATGAAAACCGAGATCAACAAGAGTGGCTTTATGCGCACTCGACAACCGGCCAGGGTCAGAAATACTGTATGCAGCCAGCGTGATACGATCTGTCAGACTCCAACCGCGAGTACAGTGAACATGGTTGTGAGCTGGGAAAATGAGTGCCTGAAAGGCCAGGCTAAATGGGCGGCCACTCAGCAGACCATAGTCAGTTTCTTCGTAATCGGTGCCTTGCCAGGATTCCACCCAGACTGATCCTTCATCGTGGTGGGAGAGACTAAGCAGCAACGTGCCCGTCTTGGAGTTGGACTGATCTCGATGAGGTGGAGTACGAACGTTGAGGTTCAAGGAGAAGGTAGTCCATTTGTGCTCCGGGCAGATGTGCTCAATCAGTCGGTTAAGCAATCGACAGAAGGATCCATGCCGAACCGTATCTGCGCAAAGTCCGATAGGTCCTCGTGCAAAAGCGCCGAAGGTGACATTGTTGGCTCTGCCATCAGAGAAGCGTTGGCGACCTGGGCGCCATGTCAAAGCTCGAACTGCTGTGCGCACAGCATTCCAGAGCGGTGACTGAGCGTCTTGTAGCAAATGCCACGACAGAATTTCAGCGCTTGGGGTCCGCTCATCCAACTCACCGTACGGAAAGGGCATATGAGTGTCAAGGCTGCGAGGGAGACAGGGTTGCAGGCGTGCAAGGTAGTAGGACAACTCCTGCATCCGTTCATGCCCAAAGGTCTGAGTTGCCAGGTGCAGCAGATCATTGTAGGATAGCATCCCCGCTTCGGCCGGAAGCGACAAGCGTGGCGGTCGAGCGGCCAGGGCATGCATGGCCTGTAACAAGAGGTACTCCTCTAGGGCCACGGCGTACAGGTCCGGCGGAAAGTCTCGCGTTTGAAACATGATGTTGGGAGCTTCCTGGCTATGTTTGCTGCTGGAGCCACATGCCCTAGAAAGAGTGAGAGAGAGTGGTCCCTGGCTCGTGCGGCAAGAGCAGAATGACTGAAAGAGAGTTTGTACTCCGCTCAAAGAGACTAGCATCTCTAGTGGAGGCGGTGCTGCTTGACTCATCTCTGAGCGCTTCGTCAAAGGACGCCCGGTTTGTAAGCAGGACGTTGCCTGACATCACTGCAGGCGTTGCCTGTATTGCAAAGGTGCTGAGCAGAAAGGAAGAGAAAGATTACAGTTGCCTATTACCAACAACGCGCAATGATGTCAGCAGGCGGTGCCTGGCATTAACTGGGGCGTTGCCCGGCAGCCGCAAAAGGTGAGACTGGCTAAGTAGCCCTGGCATGCGATGGCTCAGCGGTAATAGCCGTGGTAGGCAGAGTTCCTGGCATTGTAGGAATTTTCTTCCCAGTCCCGCCAGTCTTGCCAGTCTTGGGAGCCGGCGGATCTGGAGTGTTGTTCGGGCGGGGGCTCGTGAGAGCCATACGGGTCCGACCTCCTGGACTCCTTGTTCTCTCGGTGCTCAGCTTGCTTTTCGCGGCGACCACGAAGCTGCTGGCCAGTAACATTGCGAATCACGTTCAGCTTGACAACAACAACAACAACAACAACAACAACAACAACAACAACAACAACAACAACAACAACAACAACAACAACACAGGGAAGACATATAATCATATAAACAAGTCGTGAAGGAGCCGACAGCTCGTTATTCCCTGCGTGCCTCGGCTCCCTCCTTGCGCACCGTCCGTCTCAGCCTGTGCAAGCCGGGGAAGTTTCCAAAGCCCAAGTTCTATTAGTTTTTTGTTTTAGTCTCCTTTTGGGGACGGCAGTTCTACTAGTTTAGGGTTTAGGGTGAACCGGACCCCCAGCTTGAAAGTGAAACTTGAATCCCAGGCCCCGACACTCAGCCCTGGAACTCGAAAGCCCCAAATAAGGTACTCCCTACTTTCGGAAACTCCCCAGTTGGACCAGAATCCCATGTCGAAACGTGGAACTCTCTGACCCTACGCGACAGGCAGCAGGAGCTCCAACCCATAAACCTAAAATCCTACTGGCCCCTGCACCCTAATATAGTGGCCTAAAATGAGTGGAATTGGGCCGGTATATTACTTGTATAATCAGAATCAGGACCCACAAACTAGTATTGGTAATTATTTCGGCCCCAACATTAAATCTAAACTCCTACAGGCCCCTTTGACCCTAATCCCGGAAGCGTGATCGAAGTGAGGACCCGGCTTGATCACCAAAGGCCGCTTCTTCATCGCTTGCACAAACTCCGAGGATGTGAAGGCACGAGACCTCCGATGGTCCACGGACCTGCTCATATCTGCTTTGGTTTTTGTTGAAGGACCCTTTGTCCTCTGGTTTGATCCATGCTCTAGGCTTCAATCCTTCGTCTTTATTCCTGCTACCGCTCTTTTGGTGCTGTCACCAATAGTGTTACTTCCAGGATGTTCTTGTTGATGATTGGTGATGCTGGTAATCCTGGGAGATCCTAAGCCTAGTTTGTCATATTGCCATTGTGTGTTTTTGAGCTCCCAGCCAGTACAATTGCATTTGCCATTGCCGTAGTTATGCCCTTGATTGTCATTGTACCAGCTATGGTTGTACTGTTCGCATGAGCATTTTCTCATGGCTAGCGTTCTTCTTCTTCTTCATCGTTTCTCGGGATACTACTCCATTAGCTTCTACTAAGGTTGAAAGTGTTGTTGTTTTTGCCGCTGCTAAGTTACCAATCTGTGTTCGTATTCGTGCTCTCCTTCTGTTGTGACTATGTGTCATTCAAGTTGTTTTGCTGTCGCATGCTCTCGCCATGTTTACTCGCAAAAGCAAAAAGCTAATTAATCCGTAAGCCCGGAACACCCCAGCCCAAATGGCAAGACTGCGGCAAAGTTGCATGAATTCGTCGCCACAGCGGATGCCTCTAACGTGCAGATATCCTAGGGGCTGTTGCAAGTAGAATATGGTTTCTTCCACTGGTTCTTGAAAGGGGTAAGGGGTAATGCAAGGGTTCTGTATAGGGGCTATGCAGGAATGCACTATATAAGGTTAACATAGAGGCCTTCATGATTACAATAGGGCTTTTCCCTCGTGGCCTCGATAATTGCAACAAGATCTTAGGGTAGATTCTCTTTTAAGTATACCAGGAAACGCTAAGGAATACTATTGTCTTGTCTTGTCTGCGGATTGTAATTAGTGCCCTCGCTAGGGCGCGTCCCAAAAATCATGCTGCGAATTCGAAAACAATGAGACAAGCGACGCGTCAACGAATACTGTTAGCAATGATTCAAGCTTCTATACTACCATGTGATACCGTTGTCCCTTTATGGGGAGAAACACATAGACCCTAAACTCTTGAAATAGGCAACACCGCAACAAATGCACCCCAATTATTGTGCTCGCTGCTGTCCTTAACCACCCCCCCCCCCCCCCTCAAGCTCCCGGAGTAATCATGAACCGGCGTAGGCTCAGATAAATCATGTTCACTCATGGTCGCAAATGTTGACACTGTCATATTGGCTCGTCTAGCAACGATTCCTGTATTTGGCCACCCCTTCATAGAAGTGGAATCTGGGAACTGGCTCCGCTGGCATCCTCAATCCTCAAACCGACACTACGCAACTTCAACTGCTTCAAGACTGACAGATCAAAGTACCGACATCACAGGACCAAGTCAATCGCCAGGATGATTGCTGGTCCACAATTTTACCACAAGGACATCCTATGGCATCCAGGCTCGCACGGCAAAAAGTAGAGGCTTCAGAATCCGCACGGCAGCACAGCCAACAGCAAGAGAAGGGCTGACCTTGCTTCTCCGCCCAGGAGCCTCTGGTGACCTGGCTCAGAGCAGCTTTGACCCACTCGGGGTTTAGGGTTTAAAGGTTTAGGATTATGGCTGCTTGCACTTGCCCGGGATAAGAACTGGACCCAACTGCATGCGCACCAGCCCAGAAACGTCGACATATTCGTGTTAACAGCTTTAGCTGGCAGGGCTCGCACCCGGAAGCTGGGCTGCTGGCTCTCTTCACCACCAAAGGCACCGGCGGCAGGTTGAGGAAGCCTACGCCGATCCGCCCTACACCGGGTCCGGCAACAAGCGTCGCCACCTTGTCCGCAGGTTCAGCGTGTCTGCGAGATGGTTTTGCTTCTATGCGGGGCCACTGAGCCGTCGTCATCAGCTCAACTACTCTTCGAAGATGGATGAGATTCCTGAGGACTGAGGGCCCAACCATGTCGAAGGCCAGCCAATCCGAAGCGCCTGCACAGCGACTTTGCGGGCTACCCTCGCGTGACCTATGCATTCCTTGTCAGCCCTGTGATTCGACGTTCTCGGAGCTCTGATGACATTGAGGACTCAGTCTCTCTCGTCCTTGCAGGTTTCGGCAGCTGATGCTTGGGGTCGACCACTGGGTTCTTCGGGCCTGGGGTTCAAAGCGGCCAATGCTTAACACCATCATAGCCACTACAGTACTCCGCAATCACCATCTTCGGTGCAAGTAGCACATATAGTAGTCATGCATTTGCGGCAATTCATCCTACAAATGCTCAAGCAGTTCATGGAAACGATGCCCGGGAAATCGCATCGTGTCTTCAACGTTCCTGGCAATTTTCGGAATGTTCAAGAATCCAGATTCAGGATACCATGCAAGCCAGCATCTATACACCGTATGGCTATGACTCTGCATGGGCACTATACAATCCTCGGCTTTAAATGAAGAGGCAGGCCCCGCATCTGCGCGGAGCTGTGCCACCTTGGCCAAGAAACATATAATTGACTGCCAGCTTCTTTACATGACAGAAGAAGGCTTTCCGGGCCCGAAGCCAGAGCCCTAGACGGCCTGGGCATGCTGCGTCATTCGAGATCGGAAGACAGAAACCAGAACGAACAGCAAGAAGTATGTGCCTAGCATGGTGCATGCGAAGGAAGTGGGAGTAAAAAAAACTCCAACTTGCGCACCGGCACCTCGACCCAAGGTCAGCGCCAGCATGAGCCACGATGCGGCTCGATTCTTCACTTGCGGTGCCACGATCTTCGACGTCAGCGCATACGCATAGTTCTTGACAACACTGCTTGCGGTCAGGATGGATAGCAAACCAGCGAATGTCACTGTGATCGTCGCAACGGACCAGTGTGGCATGAACTGGAAGGCGAGCACGGAAAGGATGGCAGTCGAAAGTGTGCTTAAATGGAGCCCATTCCTGTCGTCCAAGAGATTCACAATCCGGCTGCTCCCCAGTGACAGCACGCACACGACCGCCATCAGCCCTGCAAGAGCCCATGAGCTCAGCACCAAGCTCCAGTGCCAAGTCTGCTGCGACAGTTGGGTGAAGTAGACCATGCATCCAACGGTTGTCATTGTGCTCGCAAAACCCGCCAACAGGCATACAATGAAGCCTGTCGTCCATAATGGTTCTTGCTTCTCAGCCCGAGATTCTTCGTCAGTGGCAGGGCTGGTTTCCTGTGCGGGCGATTGTTGTGGGTTCTCGAAGAAGAAGACCACCTTCAGCAAGTACAAGAAGTAGACAATCGCCATGAACCATCCGGGGGCTGTGTCTGAGTTCAGCAGGCGGTTATGAATCCGCAGCTCATGCAGGAAGCTTTCCAGCAAACCGCAAACAGCTGGAGCCGCCGCCAGCGCCGCGGTGGTCACTGCAGAATACAGGAACAACACCGGAGTCCGCCTGTTGACACCCACAGCGTCTGCGATGTAGATGGGCGCACCGAGCTGAAACTGAGAGATGCCAATGACGGAGCGCGCGACCAGAACAGACAGTGGCGAGCGCATGAGCCCGGCGAGGGAGTAGATGATGTGTCCCAACACCATGTGTGCAGCCATGAGTATAGTCACGGTCTTCATGGAAGCAACTTTCAACATCCAGCGGTTGAGAGGGACCCCGATCAAGCCCTGCAGAAGAGGCGTCAAAGCAATGACAAGTCCACTGAACATCTCCCCTGCCCCGAGTTTCTTGGAATACCCGTGGACCGTCGGCACCACAATGGCCAAGGCCAAAGGTGACAAGAACCCCGAATACATCACGAGGCAAAGGGATGGCAACGGAGCCATCCGCTCCTCAGGTGGAACTCTAGGTGCCTTTTGAGAAACCCCAGCGCTCCTCAAGACGATGTGGCTTAGAGGAGAACTACCTGTGGAGTTCAAGGGCCCTCTGCAGTGAGTGGGCAACGTCTCTGTGCACGTGACAGACATGGCTCGCCAAGTCAGCGGGAGGCGCTATAGGCTGTCACAGCTTGCCCAAATGCTGTGGATATGAGACGCTTGGAGAGAACCTCAATTACCTAGACATACATAGACATACAAAGGTATACATAGATACATACATCTATACATGCACCCATCCATGCATCCATCCATCCATCCATCCATCCATCCACGCATAAGTCCGTAATTATGTGCATGCGTATATCTATATCTATATATATATATATATGTGTGTGTGTATATGCATATATGTGTGCGTGTGTGTGTGTGTGTGTGTTACATATGTATATATATATATATATATATATATATATATGTGTGTGTGTGTGTGTATATATATATATATGTAGCCACATAGACCAAGGGAGAGCTAAACGCAGCTTCAGCTCTCCGGACCCCAGAGAGACTTCGAGAGGCTCGCAGCGCGCTCCAGCTCGAGGCTACAACCTCGAGACCCATCCTGCAACGTCCCAAACCCAAAACCAGGTAGGAAGGTCCATAGGTCCCAAACCGTAAACCCGGAACAACATATTCTGGCAGTATATGGACCCTAACTAGTAGGATCCTTGTGACAAACGGACCCCGATTATCACAAACCCCTGAACCCCAAAAGGCCCCAAACCACCATCCTGTCCTAAACATTCCTCAAGGCCCTAAAGCTCTTCGTTTAAGAAACCACCATAACACACAAAGAAGGGACCGCGCAGCCTATCGAGTCGGCGGTGGGAACCTGGGCCGCAGGTTGCATGGGTGGGGGCCAGGGCGTGGGTTTAGGGATTGCTTTTTTTTTGAGGGCCCTTTTCCTCCCTGCTACAAGTCGGAATACCTAGTAGCCTCTGTAAGGATTGTTTTTGAAGGCTTAGGGCTTAGGGTTTCAAGGCTTGCGCTCTCGCATGGTTCTTCTGCCTCCTACTTCTGCTTCGCTTTGACTTGACGGGTTCGTTGAAAGGAATGTGCTCTATAGGCTATAGGTTTTAGACTGGAGTCACTCTGGCTAGGCTGGCTTTAGGGCTTGTGGGTTTGGAGGCTTTACAGTGTGTGCTTTGACAAAGAGTTTAGGGGTCTCACACTGACTGTCCAAAACGATGCTCCTGGTTGCTAAACCTACTGGCAAAACAGCTGGGAAGTATCCTGGCAATTGAAACCATCGTTCTCATGAAGTTGATGCCGATGATGGCAATGCTGCTTTATTGCTGATATGGCTGGTCGCCCCGTTATCTATCATCATCGTCATCACGAGAACTCGAGGTCTAATGGATGTCGAAGCTCGCATCAAGAAAGTCAATCGGAGATGCCCGCCACAGAGGAGGCTTGTCGCAGACTGCAGCGCGGGTGGTTGTGCTGATAGTGACTGTGCTGAGTATGAAGCCGTGAAATGGATCCTGGTTAAGAGACGCATCTTCTATGTTGAAAAGATGACGAACCTCGCTTCGATATTAGTTAGCCGATCAACCCCGGGGGGGGGGGGGGCAAAAACAGGCACACTTTCCAGTGCCATCTCGTTCGTTCTCTCTCTTGCTCGCTCGTCTCTCTCTCACTCTCTCTCTCTCTCTCTCTCTTCCTCTTTCTCGCTTTCTCTCCCTGCCTCTTGCGTGCGAGTGGCCTGCTTGGAGGTGGTGCAGGGAAAATCCCAGAGAGCTGTTCTTGTTACACACCATGCTTGGACAATGCACAACTCAGTTGAAGTACTGACTCCCCCAGACTCCCGAAAACCAACCTCGGATCTAAGGCCGAGAGGCATCTGCAGCGCAACTTCTTGGAGAGTCGTCCTTGTGCCCATCACCTCATTCAACCCCAGCAACCGAGCAATGAAACATGCGGAGACCGAAAGGCGATAACGTTATAGACACTAGACTATGACTAGACCCTAAACTCTATAAATGTGTAAAGCTCCACCTGTGTTCTGGTAGAAAGGAACCGAACGAAGTCCGAAAATCCCAGCAGCGCCCACACCCTATATACCCAAACTCGAAATACCCAAGCGCCCACACCCTATATACCCAAACTCGAAATACCCTTTTTGCACAGACTTGTATATGCCCGCCCGGATAATCAACATAGACTTTTTTCCCACTGGACTCAAGTCTAGCCAGAAATTCCCTAAACCCTATACATATATATATATACACACACCCCAAATCAAAATCCGTTGAAACCCTGAACAGGAAACTTTCCCAAACTTCAAAACTTGAAACCACAAACCTCACACCTCGAACCGAACCACGCGTCAGATTCAATGCTTGACGGGGCACTGGACACGGAACTCTGGTCGCTGTAAGCGCTGCGTTCCGTATCCGGGTCTTTCGCATCCCCCACCTGAGAGCACAAGACTTAGGCTTAACTTATGCGCAGGCGTTTGCTGTGTAAATCGGTGCTTTTCCGTAGGCTGCTTCAACCGAAGCTGTGCGGGAAGAGCTTGGTAGACACTTGCCTCCGGGACGAGTTTGTGTACATGTCATAAATCTTGCCATGAGCTGGGTTATTATTTGCACAACTTGCTCTCTACATCGGAGTCTACATTCGTAGTTGACTGCTCTTACTCGTTTGCAAGTTCTTTAGCTGAAGGAGTGTACTGGTCAAGGTAGTGGCTTCCTTCGGGAAGCTTTTCTACCTCAACAAGTTTCTTCAGGGTTGCCACCTATAGTGCTCTACTGTGGACAGTGGACAATTTTCTTGAGCAGTCTGATACATAGAAGCGGCCTGAAATGCAGTACTGAAACAAGGACTTTGCAACACGTCGTGCTGGAAGATACCTGCGTGCTGGTGAAGCCGCAGCGAGTACGCTCACAAGCCGCGTGGGCACTGGAATCAGGTTCATGGGGCTCCACTAACCTCGCAATTTCTCAAGCAATGACTGCCAAACCAACTGCTCCCCGACGGGCTGCATAATATGACTCTGGTCGTTGTCGGCTGGCGAAATTAAAGATGTGGGGAACTATGCTGGAACTCCTGGCAGGGTGTCGCTTCGAATCACTAGCACCGTTACATGCGTGTTTGTCATTCCGGACTTCAGTTTGCGTCTGCTGGCATTCTCTGCTGATCCCGGAATTCAGACACGGTGTGATGGATCCTTATAGTACAGTAATGGTGCCAGTATCTTATTATAAGATCATGCCAGGACCTGCGACCACGACAACCACGACTTCCGGCCTTTGCCACTGCTACTACCACTACTGCCATGGCCGCAACCACAATGACCACGCACGATCACACGACACGACCTCACTACCACCCACCACCACCACCACCACCACCACCACCACCACCAGCCTCAGCGGCAGCAGGAGTAGTGAGTGGTGGTAGTCGTCGTAGTCATAGTCGCAGTCGGAGTCGTGGGCATGGTTTTGTTAGTCTGCTATTCCTCCTCCTCCTCTCCTCCTGCTGCTATCTACTGCCCCTCCTATGGCGTCCTACGGCTACTGCCACTGCTACTGCGATTTCATCTTTTCCCAATCCTACTCCTGCTGCTACTACGACGTCGACGACGATGACTTCGACGGCCAAGACGAGGACTCATGACGACGACCACAGCCACCTCTGCCAGAAACCAACTACTTACCAGACACCCCCAGCACCACCACCACCAGCAAGCAGCATCATTATGGTGACGTGTCCGACCACGAAGCTCAGGACTACGAATTACTTATGTTCTTCCTTCCTCTTCCTGCAACTCCTTCTCGGGGCTTCTGCCCCTGCCCTTACACCAAGACAAGAACCACTACTGCTCCTGGCGATGAGAACGACGTGGCACGCTGCACCGGCTCCAAAAAACATGTGGCCGTTCTCTGGTCCTCTGCGCGAGCTCCCGCCGCAGTTTGGAGATCTCGGCCTGGGCTGCGGCCTGAGACCTGGGAATGTGTCACTGTACACAAATGTATGGTGCCCAACAAGGGTGGATATCCCAAAAGGGTAGCAAAAAAACAAAAATATGTATATATATATATATGTATGGACATACACACACATATAAATAATGTGTATATATATATATATATATGTATGTATGTATGTGTACATAATATGTACATGAAGTTTGGCTCTCGGGGCTTTTTGATCGGCTTTGGACACTGTCTCTCGGAGCAGCATTTAGGAGAGGTTCGCAGATCAGAAACGCTCAGACTCAAGCAAGGGGTTCTTGA